TCGTGCCTCCAGAGGGCTTTTTCTCTATCTGATTGCATTGTGTCCGGCTTTTCCGGAATTGTGCACCTCTTAAATTATCACTTCTGTTCAGGCGTCGCTAGGTACATTGTTTTCATTTAGTCAGGATAATCATCTAGGCTGCGTCCGTACTGCCGTATGGGAGTTTCAGATACTGTAGGGTGAACCTTTTGGGGCTTGTTATGGGGGAAGCTGAAAAGGCTGGGCTCCTCTCTGAGTTGTCATATGTATCCCTGGAGTACTCTTTCTTCTCTGGGAATAGCACATGTCATCGGATTTGGAGGGAACTCGTTCTCTTGAGCTGTGCGTGTGATGTCCAGTTACCAGACCTGCAGGGGGGAGGCAGTTGTCAGCTCCTCACTAGGGCAGTTCTGATAAAGATGCAGATTAGTGTTTCACGCTTCCATGGTGTTTGTCCTTTTACTTTTAATTAAACTACACAATTGATTCGCTTCCCAGGCCTTCCCAGAAGATGTAAAAGAAAGACTCTTTTTGTAATTGAAAATTATGAAGTCGAAGTGATTCCAGAAGCTCCTTTTTGTTGTGCATTGTGACAAAATGATCATGCCCTCTCTGCCTCCTCAGGACTCCTGTAGCATTCACTGTTGAGAATAGAAGCCCAATGGGCAGAATTTGCGTTACTTGGACAGGCATGTACCTGCCAGTTTTCACCCTTAAGCGTTTTCATTTTGATTTAAAAAGAAGCCAGCTATAGTCTTCAGTAGATTGTTTTTGTAACTATATTTTAAGCCACACCTTTTAACACATTTATTTAAGAGGATTTCTTATTTCATTAAAATTCAATCTTGACTTCAAAAGTTTATGACTAGATATCTTGTTCATGTCAGAATTCATATTCTGGGTGAATTCTTGCACAATTATGCTATATTTAATATATTTTAAAAGAGCTTAGTGATTTACTTCTTTTGAAGCATGCCTCATTGTAGAGACATGCTGGAGGCCTACTTCTAGCGGTTAAAAAGTTACTGCTTCTCCTATAAAGATTTTTGCCACTCAACTGGAAAGTTGTAATGGCATATCACTTCTGATTTACTTTGGCTTATTTGCTTAGTCAAATTGTTGGTAGTGGCCCTTACAAGTTAATGCTGTAGGAAGCAGTGATCATCTTGTAAGGCTAATTTTATATCAGGCAGTGTGGTGTAAGTGTATTTTTGTTGGCAAACGCATCTCAGAAGGTGAAAGCAGACGATGTGTCCTTTTGGAATATATAATATGCACCTGTTAGAACTAGAATCATGTTCAAGTCAGAGTCAGGGAACCTGTCAAGACAGGGTTGTGGTTATTATCATGTTCAAAGATACAGATTGCTACCAAATGAAAACACATCACAATATACTAATTTCAGCTCAGAAAAGTTTATCTTAGAAGCTTTGCCATAAACCTATGAGTAGGATTTTTCCTCAGATTGTTTGAGCTGCTAGGGAAGTCTGATTAGAGGATGGACTAGTAGTGCATGCTCAGGAGAGTGGAAACGGGGATGAAGAGACAGGAAAGAAACTTGATGGCTTGCACTGGAGCTGGAAGCTGAGGATTTAAGTTTGCACAAGATGCTAATTTTAAAGCAAAAGAGAAACACTTTGCTAAAACATCTTCAGGAGCGTAAATTTTGCTCATATGACTGGACTGTGTTTTTCAGACAAAAATATATAAGTGTACTATTTCACAACTAGGTGTTGCAAAATTCCTGCACGATGTTAAGCTCAGCATGCATTGAGATAGCAGTAACGGTTTTGTTTTGCTTTGTTTTTTAAGTGCCTATTTGTCTTTTTTTGGAAGTGGAGATAAAATTTTAGTTTTAGTTGAAACGGTAGTGCATTACTTGCTAGGCAGGTAAATTTGCACGATCTCACAAATGTATGTAAGACTTTACACCTAGATAACAACATTAGATGAATGATTATCTGAAATACTTCACCATGTGGATAACTTTATTTGCTATGTTTTTGTAATATTAAATAAAAATAAACTTTCTGATTCTTAAAAGGTAATATAAAACTAGACCAATTTGTCCACTAGGTGTCCGTAGTTCCAAGTCGGAGTAATAATTTGAAGCTTCAACATAATTGCAATATTTATGACTATAGCAAATTCTTCTTAATGTTTTGCTTTACTCTGTTATTTTTGAATTACATTCCCATTTTTAGGCTTCATATGTTGACCCTAAGTGCAGCTTTGCTGTTCCTTTCAGCCTATTTTACATATTTATTTACCTCTTACCTTTCAAGCAACAGATACGAATGAAGTATTTTTTTTCTACCGGTTTCACAGTTCTTCTTTTCAGTTCTAGATCATGTCTGTAAGTCTAGTTTTACAAAAAAAATAATGGGGATGGGTAAATGCACTGAGGAAAGGTGAAGCTACGGTTTGTCCTGTTCTGAGCTACACGGGTAACATTTTACAATTTTGTTATTCTTCTTGTTCATATTTTTATGTTTTATTTCTCTTTTTTTTTTTTAAGGGTTCTGAGTTTGGAATTAAATAAAGACAGGGATGTGGAAAGAATACATGGGAGTGGTATTAACACCCTTGACATTGAGCCTGTTGAGGGAAGATAGTAAGTGTATACCTTAGTTTGGTAAGCATATTATATGAGTACTTCAGTGTGTTTTGGTTTTGTGGAATTATTTTCTTGTTGAACTTTCAATTAATTTGAGCAGATTGAGACCATAAATATTGTAACTTGTGTGCTTTATTTACACTTTCAGCATGTTATCAGGTGGGTCCGATGGCGTTATTGTACTTTATGACCTTGAAAACTTCAGCAGAAAACCGTGCTACACCTGTAAAGCAGTTTGTTCCATAGGAAGGTACGTACTCGAAACAAAAATTCCAGAAAATGTTCATAGTGTTATCTATTGTGTGACTTGCATTAAATTCACAAATAAATGCACATTATTTTTTCCAAAATAAAAAGACTACTGCGAATAGTACTAGAAATCTCTGATAACAGCTGGCATTATGCATTATATATTTTGGCATATAGAGAAAAGCAAGAAACATTGTGAGGGTTCACATGATCTATTAAGTAGCAGGAGTTTTTTCTTTTTTTTTTTTTAAATCTAATCTAACAGTTATATTTTATGTACTATGGTAACTTGCTAGTGTTGTTTGAACAGATCTTTTCATCCTGGCAGTTCAAAAAGTTAAAATGGTAAATACTAGTTGTGCTCATTAGGAAGCTAAAGCAGAGAGATTTGTGTTACAGAATCACAGAATAGTTAACGTTGGAAGGGACCTCTGGAGATTATTTGGTCCAATCCTCCCTGTACAAGCAGAGTCAGCCTGAGCGGGTTGCCCAGGACCATGTCCAGTCAGGTTTTGAATATCTCCAAGCATGGAGACTCCACGACCTCTCTCATGTTCCAATATTTAACCACCCTCACAGTAAAGAAGTGTTTTGTTATGTGCAAGTGTAATTTCCTGTGTTTCAGTTGTGGCCCTTGCCTCTCATCCTGTCACTGGACACCATTCAGAGGAGTCTAGCCCTATCCCCTTCACACCCTTTGCTGTGTACATCTTTACACCCTTTGCTCTGTTGGTGTAGACTCAACATAAAGCCGGGGTTAGGACTCCAGTCTCTTAAGCCTAGGAAAGAAAATTATCCTTTTCCTTGTCAGTTCCTCGTCCTTGAGTTTTCCTTCTATTTCATGTTGAAATTTTCTGACTTTATGCCGGTAGAGATACAAAAATCCTTCTGTGACTATTGTATAAATATTCCTGGTTACATTTCCAATAAACATATTATTATGTGTGTTTTGGAATAATTGTTTGTGTAGGCAAAGGAAGCTGACTTATGCATAACTGTTCACCTGACTAGAAGAAAACTAGCATAGGTTCAATTGCTGATTTTCTTCCCTCTAGCCTTGCCTTCAGCTTCACAAGTAGCTATTTTAGGGACACTTAGATGTTATTGATGCATAAGTAATTAAAGCAGAACTTCTTAAGAACATGTTTGAGTGAGGACAGATGAGTTAGAGACAAAAATGGGACATATTTTTCTGAAAACCAGGTGCTACCATACTGTTCGTATAATCTGAATAAGACTCAAAGCCTTTATAGGTTTATCAGACTTTCCTACAGACAGTCCAAATTTGTCCGTTACAGGCATTGAGTCTTCTAGCAAGAGCTGTTTATCCTTGTGTTTAGATAGTATGGCTATCTAGTAGGTTAGGACTTTATCTGAGGCTCATAGTAAGATGTGTCCTACATTTTAAAAGGTTAGTAGCTACATTTTCCCCTTATTTTTTCCCAGTCTTCAAATTATTTGAGATCTAAGAGCTTCATGACTAAGATCGACACGAGCAGAAAAGATTTATAGCGATAAGAGCCCTAATTTGTGTCCTGCACCATAAGAAAGGAAAAGGATAATAGAACATGCATCAATGTTCCTACCTTACAAATGGGTAAGAACAGAATCTACCACAAGTAAGCTGCGTTTGGTAAGTGTTGATGGCTGGAACTGCTTCAACAAAATAAATTAAAATTGTAATTAAGAACAAGTAATGACTATACATCACTGAATCTCAGAACCAGAAACAAATTTCTGAAACATATACAACAAACTGAAGAAGTACATGCTGACAGCACACAGCATAAAAACTTGCAAATCTGTACTAAAATGATGTCATCATTTACTTCTGAGTTATGGTGGTGGAAATATTCCATACTTGAAAATTCTACCTATGAGCACGTCAGCATGATGTTGATAGATAGCTGGCAGTTTCTTAAAGAGATGTTAATTCAAGCAGATATGTCTTTTATTTCTAATCATTTGAATATGGGCTTAAATTGTACTTTGTAGAATACTGTTCCGTATGATAGAAAATACCTCTTATTGCTCAAAGTAGACAGTTACTAGGCTATTTAGTGGGGTTTTGCCTCAATTATTTATTCCAAGTGTTCATTTCATTTCTTAGTATGTTTTATATATTTACTATAGCTAATTCATCTTCAAATTTTGGGATATTATTCATGCAGACATCATGACATCATAAATAGATGTTTAATTACCAGGAAGAAATACTTCCCATGTGACTATCTGGCTCCTGCCTTTGAAGCATGTGATAATGGTATGTTACGTAGGTGTACTGTTGTCCCAGGTTTGCAGGATACAAGGCAAATCTCATCTGGAAGCTGCATAAGTAAAAAGGGTAGTTGCCTTTTTAGAGGACTTTTGAGGCTGTTTCTGAGTAGATTCTGAACTGGGCCAACTGAGGTTCCAGTAGTTCAGAATGTTAGAGGAGCTAGTTCCTGATGGTAGACTGTAATATACCCAGTGTTTCTCATCAGGAATAAAATAATTCCTGTAGAAACACAGCTGCCTACTGTAGAACGTGATGGTTTTTTTTTTTTTCCTGTGGAAGATTTTTGCTGCAATCTATAGCAACTGCAATCTTTGACTTTTTGCTCATGCTACCTTAATAACTTGTCTAGCAATAATTTCATCAAAGGAATGATTCCAACACCTCTGTCTTGAAGAAAAGCTTACGATGTATGAATGTTTGGGAAGTTAAGTGGCTTGATACGTTTTCTTGTAGATGTCGAGTGTCATTTGAGATTTCTTAGAATACCTGAAACTTTTACATGGGATTAGCATGTATAACATGTTACCTATGGGACACTCAAACCTTGCGAAACTGACAGCTGAAGGATACCATAGAATATTCCAAAAGGTGCTAGATACCTATTTGTGGACAACTAAATCAAACCCCAGAAGTCAGTATCTCCAAAACCTGGATTTAATCATCGTTTGCTATGTAAAAAAAATCTCGCTTATTGAGCTTGTGACTCTACTTTAAAGCAATCCTCAGTGTTAATTAAAGCAGTACTTTAATGCTGGTATTGTAAAAACAAGAACTTTCCAGAATTTTCTGTGTTCTGTTAGGAGTTAGCATGCTGAGCTTCAGCTAGTTTTTTAGGATCTGTGCTGTTGCGTGGCAAAAACTGGCATTTGAGAATAGTAAAAAGGTACCAGCTTCTAGATAATATGTAGCTGGTGCTTGTGTGGAAAGTCATCTTTGCTGTTTGAATCCTGTCCAAGATGAATGGCAGTGACCTTACTATCTATAGAATTAATTCTCTATTATCTTTGGTAGAAAAGGCTGAGATCTCCTGAGTGGTGGGGAAGAATACTGCATATAGAATAAATTGGGAATGGAACGTAGCCCTGAGGCATAGAGCAAAGCTGAATGGCACATGGCCACTACTAAGCCTGGCCAGACCAAAGGTGATTCCTGCATAGCTACTGAAGTGTTTTTGAATTCATCGCTCAGTCCTCTGGGTTATGGGAGAGCTTAATAGCTTTGGTGCAACGTTGAACGCGGTCCGGGATTGTGCCTTTGCATTTATTGCACCAGGATAATTAGTTCCATGAATTTAGATCTTTCTGCACAGTGCATGCAAACGGTTCTGCAGGAATCAGTTCAGATCAAGGCTGGCTTGATTTCAAGGTGCTCCAGGTACTGAAGGTTTTTAGCTTGGCCCACTGTAGCACAAAATCAGGTGAGTTTTAGCACTGTGGCAAGATAACAGGCTGTTCTAGGCCATGCCGTAGAAATAACTAATGCAGGATTTATTAAGCTAAGTTCAATAGCTGCTCAATAGCTCTTGCGTAGTACAGTTAATGCTGGCTTCAGACTGACTTTATTTAAAGACAGTCAGATATCTTTTGTGCTTTTTAGCAACCTAAGCAAGCAGGAAGATTTATTAGCTTAGGTGTACTGCCAGGTATATGTATGTGTGTATTTCTATATACACGTACTTATATCATGCATATATTTGCATATATGTATATGTGTATATACATGCATATAAAGCACACACACACCCTCCTGTATACAAAATCTCTATCATTTACACAATGATACCTCTGCAACAATAATCACTTTGGAGGCCAGGACACTTACTGAGAGACCAGTCCAAAAATAAGAGCTGAAATGAAGAAATCCTGTGGGCCCTTCACTAGCTCCAGATGGAGCCAATTTGACTGTTTTTGTGTGCTACTTCTCAATTTGGGAACATGGTATTGGAACACTGGAGCTGAATCTGCAGGGAACCAACTCAGACATTTGGGACTTAACCAGGTGTGTGGAACTGCCTGTGCTGTTCATAGCCTGGCTGATAGAATCATATCCTCCTTGAGCTGGCAAAATTGGCTCTGGTGTACCTTCTTCCTAGCACTGTTAATATATTATTAATTAGATTTTATTGCTACACACGGTGGGATTGAAAGTTATTGTTATCAAGATAGTTTTTTCTTCTTCTTTCGTTTGTGAATATGACAATAATTAACTCTTGGTAACTCATTCCAGTGCTATCTGGTAACTTCAGTATAACCGAATATCAAGTAGTTATTAGCTTATGTTAGATCATAATCGCTAACGTGTAATTCTTCAAACTATGTATGTGATCATATTTTTCAGTGGATCCAATTATAAGTCAGTGGGTCTCAACAAGCTTAAGTGGTTTGTAATGTTCGGCCCCAACTTGATCTTTAAACATCAGAATTTAAATTTTTCAAGAGATTAGTATCTTTTGTGCCTCAGACTGTCTTAATTTGAGATATGCTACAGATATCATATTTTGAAAATGTAAAAGATCTGCACTTTCTTGAAATAAGGGCTCTTTAAAGTAAGGTACATTGATTGGTCGAAAATTGAGGCACTAAAATCAGTTGTTTCTCTGGAAAGCTTAGATACAATTTTAAAAAATGTTTAAACTACGTTTTTAACTTGTGTCACTGAGTATCAAGACAATTAACTGCTTACTCTAATCGACTGGAATCTTTTTCTCAATTATAGGAGCCATCCTGATGTACATAGATTCAGTGTAGAGACAGTCCAGTGGTATCCTCATGACACTGGCATGTTTACATCTAGCTCATTTGATAAAACATTGAAAATATGGGACACAAATACTTTACAAGTAAGTAAGTAAGAAAGAATTTTTACAACTTCCAGGCTTCTTTCCATATCATTCATTCTGTACCTGCAGTTCACTCAGAGCTCAATAGGAGCAAGCATGTGGAAGGATGAGAAATAACTGATAGTTAGCTGCAGGTACAGCAGCATGGTGGTGCGGTTCTGCCATTCTCACTTACCTTAATGTGTGTTTGTCTGGTTATGGAGACCTGAATGCCTAAACTGTGTGAGATCTTGGAACCCTTGGGGCTGTTCCTTTCTGTTTAGGCCACAGACAGGAGTACAGCCAGCTGATGTTATGCTACATAAGTTTTTCCACCAAGGACTGATTTGAAGCTATAGTTCATTTTCCGGGATTGTTGAGTGCCTCACAAAAAATAATAAATATTTAATTAATTTATATAGCAGTAGGAATGTAAAGGAGGGCTAGTTATTTCTCATAAGCAAGGCATAAACATTGCTTTTGAAAGGCTGGCCTTGGCATTTAGAAATAAAGAGGATAAAGAGAAATGGAGCGTCTTATATTTGAAAACAATAGTCATGTAGGTTTGGAGAAGACTTCCTGGGTCATTAAGTCCAAAATTCTGCTGTTGTAAGCACTATGTCATAGATCCCCCTTTCTAAAATTTGGAGAGGATGAGAGAAACCGCTAAGAAAATGCTGATGTAACTTCACAGATTCTGTTCACAGATTCTGTAGACTTTAGATTGCTGCTGACTCATTAGTCCTACTCTAACTGTTGAACTATGAATTTTGGATTGTCGTCCTAGGGACACAGCAGAGAATTCATTTTGATCACTTATGAGATGTGAAGCTATGTTTGCAGTCGCTAAACCTTCTCTTAAGCGCAAAGTTCTGTTCATTTTCCAGGTGGCTCTGTGAGCATGACTTAGAAAACACAATGTTTATCTGAAGGCTATCAATTGACCTGAATTCTGCCACCAAATAGTATATTTGAAAACACAGACAGCTTAGGTTTAAGTGGATTTTTCTATACAATCTTTTAGAATGAGGCAACAAGAAAGAAGAGCACCTGGAAGTAGTTGTACTGGCTATTAAAGCCAGTACTGTATTTTTTTAGTTGTTAACATTGTCAAGGGAGCTAATCATTGCGTGTATTTTCATATTTATTTCTTTGAGGAATGAAGGGTAGCATAAGATGTTTGTGAATTGACAAGGGACTCATAAATTTAGTCTAAGATGTTCTTTCCTGGTGACTTCTTTCTCCGTATTGTAGCCTTACTGTTTGCTATTTTTTCTTGTTTCCGTCTTAACTTGTGATAAAGCTTAAATGTCTTCCATTTTTGCTTTTGATCAGCCAACTTTCTTGACCTTTCTTCTGGGTCACCTTACAGGTCTTGCATAATTGTCTACTGTTGCAAGCAGACTTGCTCTGCAATGTTTCCGTGACTGGATTACTAAGTAGACACATTATTATTAGTATGTAAATAGTAATATTTATATTACTCTTATTTGCAGCTGTAACTTGAAAAATGCTTAATGAAAAGGATTTACGTTCTTATAACGTATTTGCACTCTGGTTAAATTGATCTTTTTATTGTCAGCCTGCAGATGTGTTTCATTTTGAGGGAACAGTGTATAGCCATCACATGTCTCCAGTTGCTACCAAACATTGTCTAGTAGCTGGTATGTATGTATTTTTAAGAAATTCTCTATGTATTTTGAAGCTGTACTAAAAAATAAGCAATATTCAGAGATTTTTTTTCCCTCCCCTGTCTTGCATCGTATGAAGACTGAAATTATGTAAGAATTAGGTCATTGTTAAAATGAAATATTTTCAGTTGGACTGATGGATATTTATGATGAGATATTTATGATGATATTTATGATGAGAATTGTTCTTCTGGAATAATGCATAATTCAATTCACCTTCCAGATTAAAATTCCTAAGTATAACTAGTTTGCCCTGAGTTACGTAAGTCAGCCTTTGAAGATCATTAGATTTGAACACAATAAATTGTATATATGGGTATGCGTATGTGATATGTATTATTTACAAGTATGCTATCTAACTATGTTTAGCCAAAAATTATTTAGAGAAGAGATCGTAATTTTAATTCTTAAGCTTCATAGGTAGTGTTTTGTTTGTCTCTAGTTTCTATATTTTATTTGTAATATGTTAAATTCACCTACACTTAAAAATGTAAATCTATTAATAAAATGTGTTGCAGGAACAGCCTGTGTAGTACTCCAACTAAGTGAACTGTTACGCAGCTAACATTTTTCTTCTATTTCTTTGTCATTGCTAGGATTTTTATTTTATTTTATTTTTGTTCTTTCGACTGCTGATTTTTTTGTTTTTTGTTTTAAAGCTTTCTTTGTTTTTCTTGTTACAGTTGGTACCAAAAGCCCCAAAGTACAGCTCTGCGACTTGAAGTCTGGATCCTGTTCTCACATTCTGCAGGGTACTTTTTAGTCTGAAACATAAATGTTAAACAATAACTACTTTGAGTAAAGCAGGCCCTATAAAGAAACACTATATACAATGTATTCTTTGTGAGCAACATGACTTTGTAAGTAACATTTTGTACCAGTTGTGAAAGTTACACAGTGGAAAACGTTCTTCTGGATGTTAATCTAGTGGAAATGAATTGGAGAATACAAATATTAATTCATGAACAGTTATTATAGATGTTTGGGTGTTTTCATGATAAAACCTGATCAGATTGATAGTGATTCATGTTTATTAAATGATTAAGCACTGGCATTGTTTTTGCGTTCATGTAAATTCAATATGGGTGCTGCTTTAAAAAAGAGATCTTTACTAATTTTAACAAAATATCCTATAAAGGTGCTTGTGTGGTTTTAAAAGGTTTCTGCATAAAGAGTAAGATACTATTCACTATGGAACGGTGGTATCTAATGCTTTTTATCGACCTACTTTAGTAAGCTGTACAGTTTTATTGTTTTATAATCAAAGGATACTTAAGGTTGGCAGGGACCTTTGGTAATCATTTGGTCCGCTCTCCTCTGCGCAAGCAGGGTCAGCTAGAGCAGGTTGCCCAAGACCATGTCCAGACAGGTTTTGAAAGTTTTCTAGGGTGGAGACCACAACCTCTCCAGGCAACTTACTCCACTGTTCAACCACTCTCACAGGAAATAAGTTTTCTTATGTTCAAGTGGAATTTCCTGTGTTTCAGTGTGTGCCCGTTGCCTCTCAGTCTGTCACTGGGCACCACTCAGAAGTGTCTATCCCCATCTCTTCGCTCTTCCATGATATTTATATTTATGGATGTTTATAAACATGGATAACATGTCCCCTAAGCTTTCTCTTCTGCAGGCTAAACAATCCCAGCTCCATCAGCCTCCCCTCATATGATAGATGCTCCCATCCCTTAGCCATCTTTGTGGACACAGCACTGCAGACGATGTGGTCTCACCAGGGCTGAGTAGAGAAAGAAGGATCACCTGCCTTGACATACTGGCAACACTCTTCCTAATGCAGCCCGGGCTACCATTGGCCCTCTTTGTCGAAAGGGCACGTTGCTGGCCTGTGTTCAGCTTGTGGTTCACCAGAACCCCCAGGCCTTTCTCTGCAAAGCTGCTCTCCAGCTGTTTGTCCCCCAGCCTGTACTGGTGTGTAGGGTTATTCCTCTCCAGGTGCAGGACTTTGCATTTCCCTTTGTTGAATTTCATGAGGTTCTTCTCTGCCCATCTCTCCAGCCTGTTGAGGTCCCTCTGAATAGCAGCACAGCCCTCTGGGGTATCGGTCACTCCTCCCAGTTTTGTATCATCAGCAAACTTGCTAAGGTTACACGCTATCCCTTCATTCAGGTCACTGAGGGAATAAGTTGAACAATATTGGACCCAGTGTTTACCCCTGGGGGACACTGCTAGCTACAAGCCTCCAGCTAGGCTCTGTGCCACTGATCACAACCCTCTGAGCCTGGAAGTTCAGAGTTTTCAGTCCACCTCACTATCCACTCACCTAGCCTATACTTCCTCAGCTTGTCTATGAGACTAGGAAGGCCTTTGACACTGTCTCCCATAACAAAGTCCATTACTTTTTGCACTTGATGGGAATTTACCCTTAAGGCCATTTTGCTAATGTGGAATAAAGGCCTTTGACCAGGGGGGTGGTGGGGGTGTATACATGATCAAGTGAAGGCAGTGATGAGATAAATGTGCTCATACTTCAAATAAGCAGGGCAAGAGCCAGATCTGATCTAGAAACTGTAGAGAAGCGTTAGCTCCAACACAGCAACATGCAAATGCATCTCTTTCTTCTGTGGTCAGCTCATCTAATAGCAGCCTAGGTGCTTTTGTGTGATGCAGAACTTGAGCTAGTAAGTCCTCCTGAACTGAATCATCTCTATGCAAACCAGGATGGGCATCTCAGTGATCTATTTCTAGAATTGAGAGCACTGGAGAATGCAGACACAAAAAGTCGTTCTCCAGAGAATCAGTTTGGGTTCAGTAGGGCTTCTTAATTTTGAGTCAGGGTTAGCGCTTTCCAGGCGCAGGCTGATTGTGTCTTTATGCGCAGCACGGTGCAGTTAGCTCAAGTGCAATATCACAGGAACAGGTGGAGGCAGTTTATGTCCTTCACTAAACATAATCTAGTCATTCTTTACAGAACTTGAAGCACTCAATAGTGTGTTGCAAATAGATGTGAATATTTTCACATAGGCTACTCTGACAGCTGAAATGGAGCTAAATTCATGCTGGACTGCAGTTTACTCAGTGGAGCGAAATAAATGTGACTGCACTGTGCCTTCCAAGTGTAACCTGTAGTCTGTTATGGAGATTTTTCCATCATCCTGGGCATCCCAGCCCTTTGATTAACTCAGGTAATGGAAAACTATCTGTTTAATAGAAGATGCATCAGAAGCAAGGTGGTTCATGTAGCTCTAGACTGCATAGCAAAAAAATAGTTGTACGACTTAGTTTATTTTTCAGCAATATGTTTTAATTATTATGTGAAGCATGGTTGCAATCCTTGTATTTAGGTCACCTTATACTTCCTATTGTGTATATTTGTTTAGCACTTTTGGAACTTTTTTTCCGACTTTTAAAATGTATTTATATTACTTGACGCTGAGCAGCGCTGGGGATGATACTGCTAAGAAGTCAAAAACAGGCATTTAACTTAATATCTTAATATTTGGAGCATAATAAGGGGAAAAACAAATATCGGTTTAAGGACTAAAATATATGAGGATCAGCTGTGTAAGGTTTTAATCTTAAGTACATAAAGTAGACGTACTTTTTATTAAAGATTTTGAAATCATTTGAAGAAAAATGTATGCTAAATTTCTTCTTTATATAAGAGTACCAGGGCTAATGCAAAATTTAATAACAGTGTTTAAAATAATCTCAGTAGCTGTGACTGTACTGTTCTGTGTTTTGCACTACTAAAACCAGTAAAAGTTGTATAATACCGTATTGTATCACTTTCAGCTAACTGCAATCCCACTCAAGCAAGAGGAGGAAAGGAAGATAACTTCTAGTCCAAAATAAATTTATATTACAATGTAGGCATTTCAGATTATTGTTTTGAATTGGTGGGTCCTATAGAAATGAGGGATATTTGTTTGTTTGTTTGTTTGTTTTCACTGTAGTTATTTGCATAAAATGGTGTGTATAAATATTTTTCTAGAAAATCAGGTAAGCTTTTTCTTACCATTTTTAGGTCACAGACAAGAAGTGCTAGCAGTGTCTTGGTCCCCACGTCATGAATATATTTTGGCGACAGCAAGGTAAACATGTTTCTATACTTTTATAAGCAATAGTATCTGATGAGAAAATTTTAGATCTTCATTATGCATATTTTTTACAACTCAAATGAACTTTGAAAATCAATCTTCATTATATACTTAACCTACTTACAGTTTTGTAGAACTTGAATAGAAAAACTAGGCCTGAAGAGCTATCCAAGTGATACTTATTTTATAGGAAAATTGTAAACAGGGTTTTGAAATAGTAATTGCATTTAAAGGTGCAGACAAATGATGTATAACACTGTAGAGATACTACTTCTTGTTACTGCTTATTAGTGTGCATACTGCTCATGCATGATAAGTAATAGCTTTCCAAGCTGCAGCAATTTAGTTAGTTTCAATTGTATGTTGATACACTCAGGCCATTTTTTTTCATTTCAGTCATTTTCAGTCCAAAAGATCCTTTTGACTTTCCTATAGCTTTTACAAATGTTACCTTTTGGGTATAATGTGAAATTTCCCTTCTCCATTTCTTGGTTGGCACATTTTTTCTTTTGAATTACAGAGGGAAATGGATATTTATAATTGAGAATGAAATTTGTGTAAGTTGGTATCAGAATTGCATACCCTTGGCTTGTGATGCCATGAAGGTTCAACATAGTTGTGGAATTTTCTAACAGCATAATTTTTTTTGATTTGCTTTGTTTGATTGTCTTAGCAAATAAAAGATTGTTTCTTTTCTTTGCCACAGAAATAGTGGCAAACTTTGTTCGTTATTGAAATACTGATTTATTAAAGTCTCCCAAAACATTTTGTTTTGAAGTTGCGTAACTTCAAACGACATCTACTTATATTGTCATGTTGCCTTGTGGTAACTGCATGCTAAATGTGTGCCTTCACGGCTCTATTTTTAGTGTAGGACTTTAGTTGGACTGTATTTGCAAATAATATAACAGGGCCGTTTCTCGGATCAAGACAGGTATGGACTAGAAACTCTTGCAGCACTGAGGTACTGACTGGGTAGTGAGGAGAAATTGACGAGTACTGCTAAAAAGAGAAGGAGACTGAACTTACCCTGTATCAGGAGTTGGGACTGTTTTCCAAGATCATTGTATGTTTGTTTGGGATCACTTATGAGGAGGGAGAATATGCTTTTGATTTTTATGTGGCTTTTATATGAAACGTTTTGTCTGAAATTTCTCTAATTGAGGTTAGACGCTTAGAAAGTTCTGAGAGGAGATTGGAATAGTCAGAGAAGAGACATTTTCTGCATATTTTTCATAGTTTTCAGTTTCAGGTGCTAGAAAAGCTTATAAGCTCTTTTCTGCTCTTTGGAACTGGCTCGAAAAGGTTAGCAATAGAAAGTGCATTGTCAAAGATGAAAAACACTAATTTTTTTTAATAAGGGAGCTCTTTGTATGCCTTTGTTAAGGATATTTCAGTGAACTACCTACAGTTTATTGCTCATTTTATAATCAGCTGAAACCTCAACAAATATCTCTGTGGTCTTAGAATATTTGCTTGTAGCCAAGTGACGTGTTTTCAGAATATTCAGCTGGAATACCACTTGGAAGGTAGCAGACTTGAGCTGTAGTGAAGAGGAGCACAAAAGAAAAAATTAGTCATTGGCTTTGTCAGATAAAGAGCAGATATGAAATAATCTTATCAACAGTTGCTGTGGTTTTGGTCAGTTCGTATTTTAAGTTAGGACTGTACATCTTCCAGCTATTAATGTACTGATCTAACTTAAGAACGCACAGGAAAAAATGTATGCTTTAGTTAGAAGACTGCTTATCTAAGAAGCAATTTGACTCGGTATATTTTCCAGCTGTAGATCAAAGCGAAGCAGTTGTTTTTGTTTAACTGGACTGGCTAAAGAAAGCTATTGACCTTAGCGGGTGCAATTTCCCTAATGGATACATCAGTGCAAATTTGTTTTTCTCAGTGCTGATGGTAGAGTAAAATTATGGGATGTGAGGAGAGCATCTGGATGTCTGACTACGCTTGATCAGCACAATGGAGAGAAGTCCAAAGCATCTTCTGAAGCAGGTAATACAGATTATAACTGGCAGTAAACCATACGTGACTAGAATCATTCTTTAATTTCCTAAATTAGTTAAATATTAGGACTGGCAAAGACAATAGTTATAATCCAGTTATCATGTCGTGCATAACATAAGTCATTGAATTTTATTCAATTATTTCTGTTATGGACCCAATGATTGTGGTTAGGTGTCTTGTTTAGAAAGATCTCCTTCACAACAGTATTGTGTCTGTTTTGAATATTTGTTCCCCCTAAAACTGGGAATGGTGCCATCTATTTTATGTGAGGAAGAATTCATTCCTGTTGTAGCTTAGGTTTCTTATGATAAAAAATCACTACATTACACGTTAGCTGCCATAATAGCTAATTACTTTCTTCTAAAACAAAGACAAAAGCACATTCCTTTTTCCTATATAAACTAGTTTGCCTTCCAAGGCAAGCCTCTAGAATATTTTGTCTTAGACATGGTTCTGTAAAGTTAATTATCATCCTTTTACACTGAATAAGGTATAAAATAGAGTTGAATGTTATGATTATGTTTAATTTTGCAGGAAGCTAAATTCCACTCATTTTAGTACAACCGAACACATTAGTGGTGCCTAATATCAGTAGTTATTAGCTACAACATTAATAATTGATATAACTTCAAGTCCCATTTCTATGCCAAAAAAGCAAACTAAATTAAAGGAAAGGTGTTGTACTTTTCAATTATAGTTCATGAATTTGAATTCATTCTGGACCAAAGGTCTGTAATTTGTGTAGGCCAAAAAAGTGCTTGAACAGTAGCTGCTCTGAGGTAGAAATGCATATGATTTAGAAATAAATTATATATATGTACTCCTGAATTTGTTCAAGTTGTTAATATAGCTTTAGGACCCTTTCTCCATTCCATGACTATATAGGTTGTCCATTTCTTCTTTTTTTTTCTTTTTTCTTGTTTAATTAGAACACTTAAACTAGAAAATTCTGACTTTGAGACCGATCTGAAAAATGACTTATGTATAGATATAAAATATATAGAAAGTAATAAAGTAATATATGAAATATGTATTAAAATAATTAGAAATAAAGTAGAAATTGTTTATATATCCTAGTTCCGAGTGAAGGAATTTGCATAGGGTGTATCATAGCTATTAAAGCTACAAGTGCTTCTGACTTCTTCTGTGCAATTTATGTTGTGCATAGAGAAATACACACAAATCTGTAAAATCAAGCTGATTTTCAAAAATGTACAATCAGAGGATTTGAAATAGCAGTGAATATCTGTTTTAAGAACCCCTCTGTCTGCTGGGTAAATTGTAGTGTGGTAATATAGGTGTTTGGTATTGAGTATTTTTAATTTCATTGAAATACAAGAAATTACGGAGATGAAAGCTAAGACTTTTTATAAAATAAAATTGGTTACTTTTTTATCTCATTTTGTTTGTAAGAGATGGATAGTGGACTTCTATGCAACTCCTGAAATAATTAGTGTAATTGTATTGTCTATTATATAGTGTAATTTTGTATGTTTGCTTGAATGCTGCATTACCGTATTCAAACACAACTGCTTTCTTTTCACTTTGTTGTTTTTCTGTCTCTGACAGGACCAGAGTGATTTGTTGATACTTTAGTGGCAATCAAATGAACCAGGAGATTGAATATATTGAAATATATCTGAACTGAAACAAATGCAGCTAACAAAGTTGTTTAGAAAATCGTTACAAAACAGATAAAGCTTCTTTACCTAAAAGATATGTCTAAATTGTATACTACAGTATAATGTGGAGATATCTCATCTTCTCACTGGGTTAATTCGTGGGCATCATCCGTTTATCCATGGTATCCACTGAGTCCTGTGTTCACTATTTTATCCTGCTTAAGAATATGCAGAATTGCAGGATGAACTCAACTGAATTCCTTTATAGTATGCAATGAGCAATATGTGCAAAGCCAGCTGTGTATGCCAGCTATTTATAGCTGTATATTTTTAAATGAAATGATCCATGGAGATCACGCTTTCATAAACCAAAAATTAAATTATTAATTTAGTTATACATTACCATTTAAACAGCACATTTAGTACTATACATTTAACTAAAAATGTGTATACAGAATGGTACTTCCATATAAGTCTGAAATAGCTCTTTTTTCTGGCAGCGAACACTGCTCACAATGGGAGAGTTAATGGTTTATGCTATACAAATGATGGGCTTCATCTGTTGACTGTTGGTACAGACGATCGGATGAGACTCTGGAACAGCTCCACTGGAGAAAACACATTAGTAAGTTTTCAAGGATCGTTGGTTATGTTTTTATTTGCACTTAATTTTTAAAGATTGCTAATAGTTTGTGCAATTATAGTTACACCTCTGGATATTCATTCATTGTCATAGAGGGTATTGCTGCTTTATCTCAGTTTGCTGACGATTTTTCAAGTTTTTTTTGTGTTCAGGATTTTTCCCCTTATTTTTGCTTGTTAAAAAAATACGGAATATGAACTGTGCTACCCATGGGGAAGGTGCTCATTCCTGAGTGTTTCACTGTTCGACTGCTAGGTTTCCTTGCTACTTTCTTTTAACTGTTTTGACGGAATCTCTGTCATGGATGTTTACAGCAGTATCAGAAATATCCATCCCCTCTACATTTGCATTGTAACCCAACAGAAAAAAAGATTCTACTTCTGCTCCAGTCCTTTCTGTGAACTGATTTTTGCTAGAGATTCCTATTTTAATTTTCTTTCTGATAAAGAAAATTGTTTTCTGCCTTTGAAGAGGGACACGTTGTAGCCGCATCAGTTTCCGTGAGATTTTAGGTAATAAGGATAACATGTTCTCTCGCTGCTATCGGGAAGGGAAGAAGAAATCTCTACTTCAGCAATCTTTTACTTCCTCCTGCTTAGTTTGAGAACACAGCAAAAAGTATTCCCTATAGACATTCAAATGAAAGGACTTTTCTATCCTCATACTATTCATATTTGCCAGTTCCTTCTCAGCACTTCATAAACAGACATCTTTCTGTCTCCAAATCACCATCACCAAAGTAGATAATACAGTTTGTTCATTCTCCTACCATCAGCTGGATCAATGCCTTTTGTTTTTCTGTGCCTATTAGTTCACTGACTTGTTTCATAGGCTATTTTACTCTTTTCTTAATTGGGCTTGAATAGCTTGATCCTGTGTTGCTATTTTGTTATTTTAAGTCCAGAATTTTATTGTCCAGAGTAGTGTATTTTCATACACCACACAGACATATCGCTTAAAGTAGTTTTAAGTCATCAGCAGTCAACTAAATGCATGTGCAGGTAATACAAGTTCACTCCCATAGTTCCTTTGATCTCCCCTAGCCAGTCCTCCTTATCTCCACAGGTTTTTTCCTTCTCTGTGCTAGTAACACCCTTCCCTTTCTCTCTGACTTACACCACAAACATAGAAACAAGCCTGCACGAACTGTAGTGAATCTGCAGCCACCCTGGCGGAAGAGAAAGATATGAAAAAAATAACTCTAAATGCTTGCCTGTCTCACTTTTGCTACCTTGAATTCTCAGTCCCTCTCTGATTTCCTACACCTGCTTCCTCTGCCTGAATAACCCACTATCCTCTTTACCTTTGGGTTTTTTTTTTCCTGGTTATAGCAGAAATCTTTTCAAAGAACTAGAGATTTTAATGGCTGCCCAGTTTTTCTCAGTAGAAAGAGAACCATACAACAGCAGATATGCAACATCTAAGTATTTTTCTGTAAAGTATCTTTAAGTATGTGACATCTATATGAGGTTTGGCTTGTTCTCTTGTGGGTGGGTAATACGTAGACAGAGATAAGTGCAAGTGCTAGTAATGAATACAGATAAACTCCACCTGCACTCCTGATTTTGCCCAGATCATTAATATAGCTTTAGAATCCTTTCTCCATCCCATAACTATACAGGTTGTCTGTTTCTTCTACTTTATTCTTTTTTTCTTTTTTAATTGGAATGCTTAAACTAGAAAACTCTGAGATACATCTGAAAAACGGCTGCTATCATTTGGTTGTTTCTAGCCAGAAAGAATCCTTATTCCTCCCAATTGTGTTATAAAATGCTTTGTTTTTCAGCAGAATGCTAGATAAATTATGACTTTGAACTCTCTTGTCCAAAATCTTACAAGACTTTTGTATGGACAGTGTACAAAATATCTGTATTAGTATAGTATATTGAACACTGTATAGTGTATTGAACACTGAAAAAACAATTAAGTTCTAAAAGTTAGCGATCGATAATGGAGATGTCATGCATGCAATCCTCACTCCTTTTTGCCGATTAAACTCGGTAAAAACTGGGGAGAGTCTTTTTTCCCCCTTCGTTTTGGGACGTCGAAGAGGAAACTAACATATGATTAAATATTAAAGGAAAATATACTCACACAGGACTGCAAGACTTATGATCCCAGTCTAAGCTAGTTTCCCACTCCTTTTAATTTTTGCACTCTAGAGCTATATTTATGAATCCATTGTAATTAAACATATAATGATTTGTTTCTTTAGCCATATCCGATTTCACCTTTCAAAAAAATTATGGAGCAGGAGAGTTTTTTTTCCTGTTCTCATAACCTTAAATTCCCTCTTTGCGTTTTGTGGCTATATCAGACATTATGGGGAAAACATTAGGAGAGTTAGAAAAGAGGTTTTTGAAGGAGGAAGGGTTTGGATTTTTATTTCCGCTTTTTGAAAAATCATGAGAAAAGCTTTCTCATTTAGCAAAATGTATTTTTCAAGTATAGTTCTCTGAAGAATATCTAAGAACCTTAACCTTCACTGTCTTTTTGATTAGTTTTATTTTGTATTTGTTTTTCAGAACTAAAGTACAAGGTTGTCTTTGAAGTCAGTCTGCTGTTTATAGTATTCTAGGAAGCAGCTTCTAGAAATTTCCAAATTTTTAAATATTTGTGGAATAAGTTGTTCTAGTCATGGACCTGATTTTCCATCCCCTATGAAGAGGTGATTTTTCCTGCAAGTATAGTGTGTTTTTAAACTTGGGTAAACTGAATCCTCTCAATTCTAGATATAAAATGACTGCATTGGCCTTGGAAATAGGAAATACACATACCAACTTCCTGTAAAAAATGATTGCTTTCACTGACACAGAAATTACTAATTTTCACTGTACTTTTAAGGTTAATGGTAGTCCAGTAACTCTTTTGTTATTTTGATTTTTTTTTAATCTTCGCTGGTATAACAGAAGCCCCACATCTGATGAAAATATCCTTCCGATATGAAAATATCAACCTACGTGAAAGCTAATCAAACGATCTTTTTGTAAACATTTTTAGCATGATTGAGAGAGATGTTTTTTCTAGACTCCTTTCTTCAATTTTTCCTACATAAGTGCTCTTAGCTATGAAAGAACAAACTTTAATAAGAGAACAACAGATAGTCTTCTTCCTTACCTGGCTTGACTGATCCTTGTATTTGTCCCAAACTATGGACTCAGGCAATCAAGATAGGATGGATCAAGAACCTGACAAAGACAGACATTTGTTTTAAAATATTTGCCCGATAAACGTTACAAATATGTTAAGTTATAGTGAACAGATTTTCAGTACTTAGAATTTTTAACTGTAGACCATGAGGGTTTTGGAGGGAGCTTTAAAATGGACCTAGAGAACTTTACTGAAGTTGTACGTACAAGCAGTTCTCTGTTTTTCAGCAGAAGTTAAGAGCAGCGATTGCAAGGCAATAATATTTAAAAGCAAAATATTTTATGTACAATGGTATGTAGTGTTAATTAATTTTTCTAATGTCTTAAATTAAAAATATACTTATTAGGAAAAAATTTTAATCATGAAATAATTTGCAAGTTTCAGGTGTTCATAGGGGGCTTCCTCTTCCTCGTGAATATGAATATATGTTTTATTTGTTGAAATTTTAATACCTTATTTTAATTAAGTTTGTTTAGAGGTAAGATATACTGTTCACATGAGTACACTTCTGATCTCTTATAAAGGACCTAATTAGACTGATAAATTCGATTGGAATGTTTCCTAGCATGTTCGGAAATTTTTCATTTTTAAACTTCAGTGAACTTTCAATCTGTGTAGGACTTATCAAGAGCTTGAAACGTATCTAACACTGATAAGCTATACTTTATATACTTTTTATTTGCAAGGCTTCCCACGCAACTCCCAAGCCAGGGTCCTAGTTAGCCATATAGCAATGCTATACTTACAGGGAACAATATTGAATTTCTTAGTGATGATGAAGTCCAGAATTTAGCAGCGGACGTAGGCACTTTAATATATCACTCTTGATTAGTCCATAAGAAATAATTTAGGAAGTTATTCTTTTCTTCTCCTTCATGAATCTTTTCTTCCTAATCCCTTTATTTTTACCTTTTATTTATGACATCCTTCTGCTTTTCCTTCAGTCCTTTTCATACTGCCTATTGCTCTTCTACTATTTCTTGCAAGCTCATGGGGGAGAGGTGCAGAATCTTTTTCTGCATTGCTGATGGCTCTATTCCTACTTCCAAGAGCAAGGGATGACTTGCTGAGAAAGCCCTGAGGGCTGGTTCTGGTGTTGGCTCGACGGGTGCTTTTCTTTTCCATCCAAATAGCATATGTACTTCAGAAATACAGCCTTCTGCAATATTGATCAACTCTCATAAAGAAAAGGCACTTTCAGGGTAAGAAGGAAGGGGTGGGTCAAGTTTTCTTCAGTCTGTGGAGTAAGCAAGTCATACAGGAAAGGTTGAGTTGTCAGCTGTTTGTTTTGTTTTGTTTTGTTTTGTTTTTGAGGTGAATGTGTGTAATAGAAGCTAGGCTGAGACCCCGATCTCGCTTTATACTTACCACTGAAATGTTTAATGTAGCAGTGTAATTAGGCCCATAGCCTTTACCAACTAGCAGAAAGTTACCTCTGCTTTCTATAGTTTAGTTTAAGAGAGAGAACTTATTCTCTCTACTACTATTTGAAAACTGATATTTTGAAATTACGTATAAACTAGCTTGTGTGTGTGTGCTTGTGTATGTGAAATATTTTAAAGAGAACACACTAGGAAAATGCAAATGCTGTCTCTTAAAATAAGCACGAGCTCTTGAAAGCTTTACATTTAACATTTCCAATTGCTGGAACTTTCAGAAAACATAAGTTGTCTTACTTATAACTATATGTGTAGTATTGTGCATATCTAGTTCTTTTAACAGTTTTAATATTTGAGAGAAAGTGGCTAGGAGGGACCATCTAAGAAAACGTTTAAGAAGGTAATTCCTGAACTAATTCTGATTTCAGTAGTAGTTTTGTTGCATCAAAGAGGATCTGGCCTGAATGGTCTATGCAAATTCCATCTTTAGGTGTGGAACTGCTGCATTTGTAGGCATATCTTCCCCCCCCCCCCCCATTCTCAAAGTTTACATTAAAGAGAATAAACTTTAATGAACAGAAAAATAATTCTCTTGATACACATCTGTATCTGCAAATTCCAAGAGTTATGTTAAAATTGGGAAGCTTAACATGAATTTTATTGGGTATTAATGAAAAAAGTCCTTTTTATATAAAGCTACTTCTTGTAGTTTTAATTAATAACTAACTGCATAATCTTTCATTTTACAGGTGAACTATGGGAAAGTCTATAATGAAAGTAGAAAAGGACTCAAATTCACCATCTCTTGTGGCTGTAATCCAGAGTTTGCTTTTGTACCGTATGGTAGTACCATTGCTGTTTATACAATTTTCTCAGGAGAACTGATAACTATGCTTAGAGGGCATTATAATACTGTTGACTGCTGTGTATTTCAACCTAATTTTCAGGTAAGCGAAGTACTTGGGACAACCTGGAATATTTATGCAGATTGCCAAACCATTTGCACAAAAAGTAGTATATTTTCAGGGATGTGTTTTAGCGGAAAAGCTTGAAATAACAGGTAGCTCAGTGGCTTTGTCAAGTGAGAAAAGTTAGGTCAAGTATTTCTGATGGCCCTTTCTATATCTGATTCCTTCCCCTATTCATTTCGTCTCCCATAGGTAACTTTTGAGTAAACCTGTAGTTATTTTTGCCTTACATTGTCATTAATAAATCGTATGTGTTATTAAGGCTTTTGCTGGTCTTCTGTAAGAGTGAAGGGGAATTTTCTTCCCTTTTACTGAGAAAATCAGTGGCTTAAGAAGAGGTATTTGCCTTTTTCTGAAATATCTAAGACTAGTCACAGTAAGAAAGCAGGTGAAGAGCGCTTAGATGAAGTGCGTAGGTCTTCCCAGCGGTACTGAGAAACCTCTGATAAGCTTCACTGGTGATCTTGCCTAAATGCTTGTAGCTATACCAATCACTGCAGCTACAAACAGTTTAGAAGTTGAGAACATAATCCGCCTCTTAAATTAATCCAGGCATACTTCACACAAGAAATATCGTTGCATTACAGGGCTCATGACTCTGCCACCCCTTTTTTCTTTCTGCCTGCGGTACATCTCTCTTTTGTACTGAAAGTCTTAAAGATAGCAAAGTCTAATTTGTTGTGAGGTACTTTACAACAGATTGTTTTTATGGTTTGTGGTGTGGCAAGGGAAGGGTGGATATTCTTATGTTTTTTTAAGTCTATTACATAGTTGCCTTCAGTTTTTGAGGACTATACTTAATGTTCCAGCTCCTTCTTTTTAGTCTTTTGTTTCTGAAATAACAGACAGAAGCATTTGAGGCAGAAAGGACAAGCGAGTATCTTTTTGACCTCTCATACGACACATCATAGAATTTGATCTGTTGTTCTCATGTTGAGTGCAGCAACTTTGAAGGAATGTTTCCCTACCAGTAAGATGGACTTCATTAGGAGATTTGAACACATTATAGATGAGGTGGTAGAGCCCAAGCTGACAAACTTTGCTAGACAGGAAAAGCATTTCTAGGAGGATTAGGCAGGGAGATACTGGATCCACTGAGAAGTGGAATATTGCCTCTCCTGCCTTCCCAGCCCCCAAATGGAACTCAGTTATGAAAAGGTTGAGAATCCCTGTATTAAAATACGTATCTTCCTCTCTTAATTAAACATTCCAAAGTATGGAATATCTGCTTCTTCTGTTGGTGCTGCAAACAAACCAAATCCTTATTATTAATAGATTCAGTTTATAACCGAAGCAAATCTTTCCTGGATTTAGTTTCTATTCATTAATTCTTCTTGGACTTTTCTTGGCTAGATTAAAAAATTATTTATCTTTTTAAGAATGGTCTCAAAATGAAGGTGCGAGTGTGTTTGTATAAAGTCATCTTTGGTTTTTTTTTTTTTTTTTTTGATAAGCTGAAGAGATGAGGCTATATAAATATTACTATAAAGCATATTTTCCAGCCCTGGAAATGCATATCCCTTTATCTCATCTCTACCTTGTCTTTTGAAATACTTAGAAATGTATGTGACATTGGAGTATCGGCATCAGTATTATACAATATGCCAGAATTATCTCCCTGTTCTTGTTTATCACTCTTCTATGTGTGTGTGTGTGTGTATGTAGGTGTGTGCGCGTGCGTGTGTGCATACACAATTTGTGTGCACGTGAGCGCACACACGCGCACACATTTGTGTGCGTGAGCGCTCACAATTTGTGAGCGTGCACGCAATAACTGCATCGATCAGAATAGCTATAGGCTTATGCTGACAACTTAACTTCATTTGTTTATCCACTGTGATTCCTGAGTCTCTTTCAGAGTCACCCTTACTACAGTTCAGTTTTGCATTCTCTGTGTGGCTGGCTGTCTTCCCTTTTTCTTTGCACGTTCTTGCTTTTGTTGGTATAAAACTGTTGCTCGGTTTGGTGGGATTAGGTCACTATATTGTAAGTGTGTCAACACCAAAGGTATTGCTAGTGTTAACTTTGTTTATGTTGACATGTATTCTTCTAAACAGCTACTTCTGCCTTGAGATCATTAAACACTTTCATCAGTCTTCGTATAATTCTACTAAAAATTATAATATCCCAGTTAAAACTCCTTTTTTGAGAATGCAGGCACTTGTAGAATTTGTATCTATCTTATTTTACTATTGCAAACAGTACTAAATCAATAATGTTAGAAATTTGTTTCCATTTATGCATGTATATTATCAGTTAGACTTGTTATAAATACAATCAATTTTGCTTGACAAAACCTGCTTTGCTGTAAAATGTGTTAACTGATGTTGTTTATTTTCCGAATATCTTCATTCTTCAGTAATTGCAGAATTCCACTGAGAATCTTCAGAATCTTTTTAATCACCTTTTCCATTATCTTGTCTGAGATTAAAGAAATGTCAATCAGTCCATTAGTATCTGTATCATTCTACTTATTTTTTTGTTTTGCTTTTCTGAATGGTATATTAGCTCACTTTCAGCTCTCTCTCTCTCTCTATATAGTTCAACATGTTTCAAACATATTTAACTTAAGTAGGCCAGAAGTTTTCTCAAACAGCTCTTCTAAGACTCTTTGACGCTAGTTATTCATCTGATGAAATGAATAGCTGCGTAGATGTAGGCTTTTTAACATCTGTCTTTCTTATTAGCACATTAGAACTTAGCACGTTATCTTCATGTGAAACAAGATCTACATCTGACTGTTCTACATAATTTCTGCCATTTCCTTCTAGTAGTAGGTCTCTGTCTTTTTTTTTTTTAGGTTTTTCTTCATATTAATAATCTTTTAAACTTTTTTACTGTCTTTAACCCTGCTGAATGATTTTCCTACCCCACCCCAAATCTGCTCTTTAAGTTTTTTTTATTATTTATTTTTCTGTTCAAAACTTCTGATTGATATTTATTGCTCCCAGTCCCTCCCTTTCCTTCTATTTATTAGGCGTATTTTAATCACTGTCTTTGTTTCATCTCGTGACTGGAACAGGCTTTAAAAAACTTGTGTACTGATTTTGTATTTGAGGTGTGAAGTATCTTCTTTCTGCTCAGAACTGTATAATCAGCTATGATCTGTGGTACCCAAGCCATTTGCAAGGCAATGATAGTAGGCTTTGTCTATTCTTATTAGGTCCAAATTAATTAACATTCATAGGTAGAACACCTTTGTGTCTGAGTTACTGTGTGTAGCTGCCTCTGCAGTGTAGTGTGAGATTTAGTTAACGTGTGTGTATATCCTTTTGAGATCCTGGCAATAAAGCAATAAAATCCACTTTATTATTGTTGGCCTAAATTTTTCTTAAGTAACTCTCTCCGTGAAGTTAATGAGATATTAGGCTGCTTGAGTAATAAGAACTGCAGAATATTGCCCATTAAGAAATTAGGAAATCTTTCAGGAGATGTTTACTGTTGGGTCTAATATGCTAGATACCAATGTGCCTTATTAACTGCTTAAAATAATTTAAGTAAACAAGCAAGACATGTTTACCTTTCAGAAACAAAAATGAAGTAAATAACTATTAATTAATTATGAAGTAAAAAATATTAGCAGTGCATCAGGAGCAGTGTTGTTTTAAAATATAGGTACTTTTATGTTCAGGGAATACCAATCACAGCTACAGAGGTATTTGGTAAACCTACCCATCTGTAACAATCCAGTGGTAGGCTAACAAATAACGACAGCTAAAAGTTAAATTAAGTTCTACTTGCAATCCGTCTTCAGAATGTTAAGACATAGCATTGAAATGTTATGCTGTAATGTACCATAAATATGCGTGGAGCTTTATATGTTGACTCTTCTTTTAACTGACTTAAGCTCTGAGTCACTGTTTCAGGTTGTAATAATTATAAATATTAGTCAACACGGTCTATATTAAGTGAAGACCTTGCAATCCCAGGACCAGAAAGAGAGACAGGTTGTAATAAAGATTAACTGGAATATACTGACTTCTCAATTACATTGCTTAGAAGGAGGGATTTGTGGTGGGAGAGATTGCTTGTTTTTTAAAGTTCCAGTGATACTGTGTATCTTGCAAAAGACAGGATGCTTGAATAGAGTAGAGTACTGCCAACAGGATGAAGTGATATCTGACCTATACCTTGATATAACTTTGACCTATTTTATTCTTTTAAGCAAGATAAGTAGGATGTTTATCTCTCAGAAAAATTTGAACTCCAATCTTGTATGTGTTTTATGCATGAATAACTTTGTTCCTGGGAGTACCACAGGAGAAGTCAGTATATCAGCTCACTTGAGTAAGGTAACCCACATAAATGGGTATTTATAGGAACTAGGCAACTTAATAGTTACTATTAAGAGCCTGCACCAACGGTCAGGGTAATTGATGCTTTTCTAGAATTAAATACACATAGTACAAAAGGAGGCTTTCTGCAAACACAGAACTGTAATTATTATTGAATTATGTTGAATCGACTTATTAAAATAGTGTTGGAGATATGTACGCAGTTGCTGGGTTAAGTGTAGGAGCCAACATCTTTTAGAATGTAGGTATGTTTCACTCCCGTAATTTAACGTGTGGTAGTTCTCGTCTTAGTTGTTGTCAGACGTTTCATATGAGAAGCAGGAGTTTGATTCAAGATTGAAGGCATATGAAAATATCTCCATACACTTTCATGTAAGTAGCAGTTTGGAAAACAGGAGTGTTAGGAGTGCAAAATTTACTGCAAACATGGTGCAGTATTTCTGAATAGCAAGTGACAGAGAAACCTGTATTTCCTTTAATAAAGAACTAAGAAAATGAAGCTGTGCTTGACTGTTAGCTGTTTGCTGCAGAGACTGTTTTTTTACCATGTGTTTGCAGGGTGACTAGCACAATGGGCTCCCAGTCATTGCCATAATAAATAGGGTTATATATACTAGAAATAATAAATCGGTCTTTCTGATCTCTGCCTTCCCAACAGGATGCAGGCTTCAAGTTGTTCCTTGTTTGTACTTTTCCTTCCCTAGGCATACTCGAACTGTGTTTACCTAACACTCCTTTGCTCCGTACTTACGCACTCTTCTAACTAATGTCTTATTAAATGTTTTTGAGATGATTCGTATTGTCAATTATGATAGAAAAAACTTTTCCTTTTTCCTTCTTCCCTTTCCATTGACCATAAATACAACTATCTTATAAGCTTGCTAACTCTTAAGTTAGGTTACTTTTCAGGAGACACGTGAGAGGGAAGAAAAAAAGTACATTTAAGCAATGAAGTTCACTTAAACGCGGGTAGTGCTATTTTGATAACCACCCTGGGGGAGATATCAGAACTTATTCTTTTTGTCTAGTATGCTTGTAAAATATACTGTTTATCAAGATTATATTACAGATTAGAAATTACATATGTGTCTTTATTTCTAAATAAAAATTTCATACACTTTATATGCCAGCATTATTACTATTTCAGTATTCAGTAAATTTGTATAGGAGACATTTTTTGCTTGCCTTTTTAAAGGAGCTTTATAGTGGTAGCAAAGATTGCAATATCCTTGCTTGGATACCTGCTCTTCGAGAGCCAGTTCCTGATGACGTTTCTGAAAAGGTAATTAATAGTTTATTCAGTTGAAATATACTCTTCGTGGCTGTTATACTTGAGAGAAAAATAATTATGTATGAAATGGATTTTCACCTTCAAAATTTTGTAACAGTACTGATTCAGAGGAAAATCACCTAGGTATTGTTTCTCTGTAATCTCCTGGTTGTTGTTCTGAGGTTTCAGGGGCCTTTTTTTTTGATGGTCTTGAAAAATCTCTTGCAGGCTTCTACCTTCTCACTTAATTAAAAGTAGTACTTTTTATTTGGTTGTTGGGCTTTCAACTTCCACTTCAGCTTCCTTAAATTCCTTACTGTTTTCTGTAGTTTATGCTCATTTGGAAGCGGGAAAAATGTCAAAGGAAAATTGCATTTTAATTTGTTTAGGAATATACTGTGTACTAAAAATATGATTAAGCTACAGATCATATCCCAATACTTTTGATACAGAAATACAATAAAGAAAATAGAGCTTGAAAGAAGACATGCAGGCTGTCACAGGGCAGATGATAAGTAGCACTATTTTCTGTGAGAGAACATGTTTTCCCTCTTACTATTAGAACTGGGCAATAAAAGTTTGAATGACCAGTATGAGGGGGAAAAAAATTTAGATTTTAAGGAACTTAAGCCATGCACAAAATAAGAGTCCAGCAACTTGTCCTGATGTTAAAAAAATCAGGAGAGACTAATATTTTGACTCATATCACACAAAAAATCCAATTTTCTAAAATTTCAGAAATGTTCCATTTTGAAAAGGATAGCAATTGTAACAAAACACTTTTTACTTTGTTTTGAAACACAACTTATTAAAAACTACCTTACATTTAAACAAAGAAAAAATCACTTTCACAGTTTCGATTACCTAAAATCAAAATGTGTTCAGTTAACCTGAAATGAATATTTTTATTCTGTTTAACTGAGAATTTTTAGAATTTTGTTTTTCAGAACAAGCAAATTATTTTTTTAGTCTGAGGGGGGGAAAAAAAGCCATTATTTACCCATCTCTGATTATAATTGCCCCCTTAAGTTTGACATTATGGAGGCTGAGTCATATGCCATTGTTTTGAAATCCGTTAAGCTACTGCTGCTGTTTACAAATGTTATAAGTTGGCACTGTCTCTGAAAGAAGCAGTTCTGCTCTCCACAGGCCACTAGTTCCTGCTCCCTCCCATGTGCTAGAACAGGCATTTGCGTTGCCTGTATTTTAAGACTCTGAACCCAGGCTAGAAGTAAACAAGCCAAAAAAAAAAAAAAAGTTTTACCCATGGTCAGAACTGTGATTTAGTGCACTGCTTGATTGCACAAACCCTTGAGCTGACACAAGGGTAAGGTGAGAACTAGTTGGAGGCAGATAGAGGCTGAGACTACTTCTTGAGATAGTGGTACTCAGTTATGCTGGGACAATGAAATTGTGTTTTAAGCAACACAAAACAAACACAAGTTATAATATCTGTATATTATATTTTACTTTTACATTTTTAGAGCTTCCAGTTAATGTTCCAGATATTTTTGTTGAAATTGGAGTTAAAAAGAATACCTTGTCTTTTCACAATTTATTCCATCTCTAATGAACAGAGTGGGCAAAGAATTGATTGCAAAAATCCAATATCGGTGAGACACACAACAGTTTGTCTGCAGATAGTAATTTAAGAAAGATGTTACCTTTGTTTGCTTTTAATGTTTTTAATTGCTTGGAGTTCTATTAAAGCAAACCGCTGAGAGAATTTTTATTTTCTTTAGTTTCTATCTCAACAGCATTTAATTCCAGCATATGAAGACGCGTGGAGCAGCAGTGAGGATGAAAGCTGAATTTCAATTGTGTGCTGATATAAACCTGACATTCAGGTACTACGTTCAAGGACTTTTGGATATTGTCAGGTTTCTTGTGGCTGGATTTTCGTACAGTTGTATTAAAGCCAGGTCTTTCAGAAGTAAGCTTCCACTTCTTTTTTGTGTCATTTTCTTCACTTTTATTGCTACATATAAAGGATTACTTTTTCGTGTCTGCTGACTTTTACGCTTACCCTTACACGTTGGTATACTTTATTCAGTGTTGAACAGCAGCTGAAAGAAAACTAAAAGTCCTTGTGACCTGTAAATAGTAGATTGTTTCTGGTATCACTAATACATAGGGAGATAATCCCTTAATTTCTGAGAGACCTGATGCAGAGGATTTTGCCTTAAGGAAGGCTAGCTCAGGGATACTTCCAGTTTATTTTCTGCAATGTCTAGGTGGAGCAGACTGAGTCCTTTTATGAGTGTCTGTGTGCAGTGGGAGCCTAAATGAATTTATGTGCCTGTTCTTTTGTGTTTTGTCAGTTTTGCAGAAGTTTCTCCATGAATGAGATGTTCAGTTCAGGAAGAGGCAGATTATCTATCCAAGTGTTTATATGGCATCCCCTATCAACTTGTGTCTGAATCTCACCAAGAAAGTTAAAAATAGAAATTAATTTTGTTAGGTTTTTGTTGTTCCTGTTAACATGTTTTTAAGGTCAGTCCTCTATGTATGAATCTCATACACGCTTCCCTAGCCAGGGTGAAGAATTCATGGACAGAAACAGGCTTGAGGTACAGTACAAGACAAAGTATGGATCATGTTTCAAGTTAGAAATATAGAATGTAGTCCTTCAAAACCCTTTGCTTTCATCTGAGTTTGTAGTCCTAATACCTACTCTGTTTTGGCAGGGAGGAGTTATGGGGGGTCATTGCCTAATCTCAATCGCTAGTTTATGCCTCAGCAGTAATGTACTCACTAATCTGAGAGCTAAGTCAGAAGTTCTCATTGGATGGAGCTGCAGCACTTCAGGGGAAAAAACAGAAGAAAGGAAATGGAGCACTTCAAGCAGTAATAATACAGTTTCTGGAAGTGAAATAAATTTATAAATAAATCAAAGATAGTAATTTGATCTTTGTATAGTGTATAGATATGATCGGTATGCATTTTTGAATTAATTCACTGTACTTCTGTATTTTAATATCTGTACAAAATATAGACTGTCACTTTCTATATCAGTCTAGATCCTAGCAGCGTGGAATAAGACAATGTGAGGAGGGAGCATATCAAGGGAATGTTTTCATTAGGCATGTTTCATATATAGTTCGTATTTTCAGGGAGAGACCCAAAATTTAACTTATGCTATTAAACGGATTGTTGCAGGGTAGAAGGCCTGCAGAAGTTTCAGCTGATGTTAGTTTAAAAGACCAGTCTGACCCTGTCACTTTACGGTAATAGAAAAAAAGGACTTAATTTTCTATTTTTTAAGTGACAGTTTTCATTACCAATGGTTATTTTTTCTATCTAAAACAGGAAAAACTGGGGAACAAATTTGAAGTGAGATTACACGTTTTGGTTTTGTCTTTAAAAAGATATCTGTTATTAGGGATGACTTTTGTTGCATGTTATAAATGTGCATATATTTTGTATATGAAAGCAGCATTGCATATATTTGGTATTTGAATTTCTAAAAGTTTACTCAATAAATCATGTCAGAGCTAATTATCAAAGAATGAATACATTATTTTTCAAATCAGTTTTCAGTGATCAGTTTCCAATCTGTAAAATGATTGCAAATGTTGATGTTACAAAAAACAGCTCTATGGTGGACCTCCTCGGAGTAAAAAGTCTTTTTTCTTATATTTCAATGGAATTGCCTGTGTTACAATTTGTGCCCATTGTCTCTTGCCCTGTCACTGGATACCAATGAGAAGAGTCTGGCTCTATCTTCTTTACTTCCTTTCATCAGGCATTTATACACATTGGTTAAGACTCCCCTGAGCTTTTTCTTCTCCAGGCTAAACAGTCTCACCTTTTTTCAGCTTCTCCTCATATGAGAGATGCTCCAAGCCCTTAACCATCTTTGTGGCCCTTTACTGAACCCACTGCAGCGTGTCCACGTCTCTCTAGGAAACCCAGAACTGAACAGAACACTACAGGTGTCACACCTGGGCTGAGCAGAGGGGAAGGATCACCTTCATTGACATGCTGGCAACTCTTCCTAATGCAGCCCAGGTTCTTGGCATTTGCTGCAAGGCTGTATTGCTGGCTCTTGTTCACCTTGCTGTCCACTAGAACCCCCAGGGTCCTTCTTTGCAAAGCTGCTTTCCGGCTGGTTGGCCCTCAGCCTGTTCTGGTGTGTGGGGTTGTTCCTCCCCAAGTACAGGACTTTGCATTTCCCTTTGCTGAATTTCATGAGGTTCCTCTCTGCCCATTTCTCTGGCCTCTCAAGGTCCCTGTGAATGGGAGGGAAATCCCCTGGTGTATCGACCACTCTTTCTGTATCGCCTGCAGACTTGCTGAAGGTGCACTCTGCTCCATGATCCGGGCCATTAATGAAGATGTTAGACAGCACTGGCCCCACTGTTGACTCCTGGGGTGCTCCGCTAACGACTGGCCCCTAGCCGGGCTTCGTGCCATTGATTGCAACCCGGAGTCTGGCCAGTTTTGAGTTCAGCCAGTTCTCAGTTCATCGCGCTGTCTGTTTATCTAATCTGTACTTCATCAGTCTGTCAGTGAAGATGTTACGGGAGACAGTGGTGAAAGCCTTACTGAAGTCAAGATAAACAACATCCACTGCCCTCCTTTCATCCACCCAGCTGGTCATTTCATCATGGAAGGCTATCAGGTTGGTCAGTCGTGATTTTCCCTTTGTAAATCGATGCTGACTACTCTCAATCACCTTCTTAACCTTCATATGTTTGCAAGTGGTTTCCAGGATTATTTGTTCCATCCCCTTCCGATGGAGCAAGGTGAGGCTGACCAGCCTGTTGTTGTTCCCTGGATCCTCTGTCTTGTTGCTCTTGAAGGCAGGAGTGATGCTTGCCTCCTTCCAGTTCTCAGGAACTTCCCCCAAATGCCATGACCTTTCAAAAGTAGTTGAGAGTGGCCTCACAAAGACATCAGCTGGTTCCCGCAGCGCTTGTGGCTGCATCCCATCAGGTCCCGTGGACTTGTGTACGTGCAGTTTGTTGAAGCGTTCCGTAACCTGATCCTCCTGCCTCAAGGGTAAGTCTTCCTTCCTGCAGACTTCCCCTCTGGTCACGGGGACTTGGGACTGCTGAAGGCAAGTCCTACGAGTAAAGACCAAAGCAAAGGATCGTTGAGAACCTTGACTTTTTCCGTGTCCTCTGTCACCAGGTCCTCTGCCCGATTCAGCCGCAGGCCCACGTTTTCCCTGATCTTCCTTTGGCTGCTGATGTACCTTCTTGCCCTTGGCATCCCTTTCTGGATTCAACTCTAAATGGGCTTTGGCTTTCCTAACGCCATCTCTGTGCTGGGAGAGTTTCTCTATATTCCTTCTGGTTCACCTGTCCCTGCTTCCACTTCTTGTATGCTTCCTTTTTATGTCTGGCTTTTGTCAGGAGCTGCTTGTTCATCCGTGCTGGTTTGCTGCCAGCTCTGCTTGACTCCCTGCACGTGGGGATGGATCATTCTTGAGCTTGGAGGAGGTGGTCTTTGGAAATCAACCAGCTCGCCTGGACCCCTCTTCTCTTCAGAGCTGTCTCTCATGGGATTCTAACAAGCAGATCACTGAATAGGGATCTATTTAGAGATGTGGAAACTTTCCTCTATAGTTTTATGGGAATTATTTTCCTATATTGTTGTATAATTTTTTGCATTATAGTAGTTTTGTGTAAATTGTCCCATGAATGCAATATGGCTTGCAGCTCAGGAAGAGGTGGACTGGGGATTATCTGCCCAGATAGTTTTCTACTCAGGTAGCTGTCAATTTAGTGTCTGAATCTGTCTCAGATAGTTAAAAAAAGAAATAGCCTTGGGGTTTTAATGCCCCTGTTAACAGTTATGTCTTCTAAACATGAATCTTCCCTAATTCTCCTCTGATATCAAATGATGATGTCATTATTATCTGTCTTGACTGTCCTCTGCTGGAAGGAGAGGAGTTTCTGGTGGGGGAAATAGAAACAGCTGTGTCTCACCTGGGCAAGAATCTAGGCCCGTTTAAAAATCCAGCAGCTGAAAACCTTGCGTACAATGGCAATAGGTGATAGGTGATGTTTAGTTTCCAAGCTGTTAAACTTCTACTGCTAGCTGGTATCTCAAACATTGATTTCTGGGAAAATTCTGCATTGGGTAATGGCGTATGCCCTATGATTTCCTTAAGTATTTAAAGTTCCCTGTAGATATGGTAAATTTGTTATTTACATTCTCCAGATAAAGGATGTGCCTTTTTTTTTTTTTTTTATTTCTGCTGCATTCTTATGGTGACTGTATTTAATTACTAGGTGAAGTGTTCATATCCTCTGAATGAAAGATTACAAAGGTCAGTGAAGATATATATTAGTTTTCACAGAGCAGAACCAAACTCTAAGCAAAGAGGGACAGCTGCAACTGTGCATATCTTGCTTGTTTGTAAGTCAAATGTGGTAATTACCCCTGAGTCTTCACCTTCTATGACTATTCTGTTTCTATTCTTATAGCATGTCTTTATAAAATTTGTAGTGTCTGAGCTCCTTCAGAGCCAGAAGTGCAGCAAGTGGAGTATTACAGGCTTAATTGCACTTCCCATCCTTGTGTCAGTTTGAAAAAAGATTTGAAAATCCAGTCAGGGGTCAGATGTGGTGCTGTATTCATGTGGAAATAAAGTCATTCACGTGAGCAGCGACTAGCTGAGAGATGGATTCTAAATTCCCATTAAAAATAGTAAGAAAGTTTAAAGGGTTTGTTTAAACTAAACCTGACAGCACTCGACTGTAATAGCAGGTACTGGGATTTAGTATTCGTACTCCAAAGTAGAATACATATGAAAGTGCTTTCATCCTTTCAGGCTATTCCAGGAATTAGAAGACTTAGAAGACTTGTTTTGCCTGCCAGGGAAGCTGAGAAGATTTTCGTTTCAGCTTGACGCAGAAGGTACCAAAAGACAAAAAAGAATTTATTGCCTCTTACAAGAGATCAAAGAATTTCCTTTCCCTTCTAGCCTAAGGAAAGAATGGAGATGGGAGCCTGTCTGAGGCCAGCCCAATTGAAAAAAATCAGGAGAGCCTAAGAAAAGCCTCCTTCAGCTTGAGTGAAAGTTGATTTCTGTTAAAAAAAAGAAACTCTCTCTCTTTCTTCAGAGAGTCAGCTATGACTCTTTGATTATTTAAGTCTGGATTATGATACTTGAAAAAAATTAGGCAGTAAGACATCCAAGCAAAAAGCTGGTTCTTCTTCCTCCTATAGAGAGTCCTGGAAGAAGGCATTAGCACAGGAAAATAGAAATATGGTTAACTCCCAACCCAAGTACTGAAAAAACAAGTTCAGCACCATGTGCTTACCCCTTTATGCTCTTTTCTCTATCCCCAGTATTTCCACTGTTACACGTATGGTGACAAGACTAAAACTTTAGGGACTTATTTGCTACCTTTTTCACATTGTACTTGAGCTGGGCTTCATCTACTTGCTTAGCCTGGTTTTTTTTTTTTTCATTAATCAAGAATGAGTTCTTCATCTACTTGCTTAGCCTGATGCTTGAGATTTTAAAACTTCTGTCACTGCAAGGCTAAAGAAATTCTCAGATTTGGGAATATCAACAAAATTGAATTTTTTTTCTATGTTTAACCTTGTGTTATAGTCCTTATTCCACTTTGCACATACATATATACATATGTATGTGTGTACACAGACACATATAAATAAAAGAAACACCACTCTGAGGGCTCCTTTTGAGAAAAGGTCTCAGTCTTCAATGCAGGTAGAGGTCTAGGGCGTACAGTTAAGCTCTTCCGTGCATATTGGCCTAGCATCTGTCATAGTGAACGTATGAGCCTAGTAATAGCTTAGTACAAATTAAGTTTGAGGTCTGTGGTCAAGTTATGGCATATCAGTTAAGCCACAGGAACTGTTCAGCTACATATATTTGGCATGCAACACATATGAACTAACATGGCTAAGGTAGTCCACAGTGAAAGAGAGGTTGAGTATTTGCCATGTGCTTAGCCACTTAGATCTGTGCTGGAATACTGAGATGTCTAAGAGACATTCTTGAGGCAGCATATTGGTTACAGTGGACAGCAGTTAATATTCATAATATCCAACTAAACGAAAGTATGTAAAACGAATCAGTAAAGTGCTTTTGTGAGATTAAAGATAAGTTATGAAATAGACATGCCTTCTTTCTGCTTCCCTTGTTTTTGTTTTCTTTTAGTCTATTTTGTAAAAACAATGGGAATGGAGGGTAAGAAGGAATGACTGAGTGGCCAGGAGTTCACGCAGATGCATACCTGCTCCCCACAGCTTCATTCCTTCAGGAATGAAGGCAGGTGTACCCACCAGCACACACGTGCTCCCTGGATGACTGCTAACCAGTGTTATCCACTAAGCTGTCAACCCTTAACCACTCTCAGTCTTGCCAAATTTCACCAAGCCCAAGAAATCAGAAAAAAATATTTGGGGCTGCTGAGGAAGAGCTTTCTATTTACTTTTAAAAAAGAATTTTGAAATTGCATAGGGATATAGTTTTTTTTTTTTAATTTTCAATTTATCACTATTTGCTTTCAAATTAACGGAGAAAGAAAACAGTATTTTTAATTATGCATTTTAGTGAGTCAAGACGTTGTGCTAGGAAGGAGACTTTCAGTCAGTCA